CTATCTATCTATCTATCTATCTATCTATCTATCTATCTATCTATCTATCTATCTATCTATATGTATATATATACATATATGTATATGTATATTTGTTATTATATGAAGTAGCTAAAGTTATACAACGTAAAGTAAGATAAGGAAACAATACAAAAAGAATGACTAGGTTCTGGGGAGCCGATGGGACTGATTCTGGTTGCCGAACCTGGGGAGAAGTGCTTTTATACCCCAGCAGTCACAGATTACTAAGATTGCAGAACATTAATGGGGGTAGGGTGTCCAAAGATTGAACTGGGGACCAGAGGTGTTGCATCATAATGATGCAGTTGCTCCTTACGTAATTTTTAAAAAAAACCATAATTCATTAATTCATTATGTGACGTACTATGTAACAAGGCTTTTCGTTTCCTTACCACCACGCATTCGAGTTAACGGATCGACTTAACAAATCGGTGATTTCCCGCCGGCCCTTTTATTAGTAGACATAGCGTACTCTAAAATACCAACATTTAGGCAGCGCTTTGTGCTTTCCGAATTGTAAAGAAAGTGCCGGAACTTCTGGAAATGTTCATTTCGTGTACAAAAGCATTGATCAATGAAAAAAATCACGGTAAGCTTAGCTCAATCATCCAACTCTGCTTGTCTTAAATACACTTGTGCATAGGTTTTGGGAGTTATCGAATGAATGCTTTTTTAGGTGTATTGATCGGTGGAATCACATTGGTTACCGAGATGTGTGAGCGTAGTCCCGATGTTCTGAATCATTTCAAGAAGGTTTGTCATTTTCGTTAATTTTCGGCAGTGATATCATGTATTTCTAGTATCCTCATATTACAATTAAACTTAGCATCACATGTAATTTTTGTCACATATGAATTTCATGTCTCGTATGATTGTATATGCGCTGTTTAATTATCCTTGTTTTCCTTAAAATAACTGTGCTACTGGCGAATTTTTTTTTTTTTCTGCGCAGTTTTCCAAAATACAGAAGCCCCGATGCTTACTTTGATCTTTTTTATCACCGATTGTTCCGTCGTTGCGTTTCTTCTCGTCGTTAATGTAACTACCAACTTCTCCATTCTCTGTTTTGCCTTCTATCGCCCACATAACTCCATATTAGAAGCGGTTCAGACGAACCCTCCCACTACGCTGATGGCTTTGTTTCTTTTAGCACTACCTGGTTGCCAGTACATAATTCGCTTCGTCCATTTGTTGTTCCTCATTGTTTCCGTATGACCAGCCCAGTTCTTCTTGGCATGCACTGCCTTGATAATATCATTCACATCAGCCCGAAAGTGCACTCTTTCTCCGGATATGTGCTATAACTTGCTGGCGTCGTCTTTGATTCGTCGCATACCGCTTATTTTTTTTTCATTTATCATAGATATCTGACAATAAAATCAAAACTGCTACTTTTTTATTTGGAAAACAATTAGTATTTAAAGCGGGCTTCAAGTTTTTGAAAAAAAAAAAAGGCGAAATTTCTGAAAGTATGCAATTTTTTCTAAATTTGCGTCGAGTTCTTGAAGTTACTAAAGGTTACTGAAACGAAGTAATGTCTTATTTTCTTTTCTTCTGCAGATGGTGCCTAATTTGGTGCGCATATTGAAAAATCTTCTTATGAGCGGTTACTCGCCGGAGCATGATGTTACGGGTATCAGCGATCCATTCCTTCAGGTACAGTTTGGAAATATCCAGCACTTTCTGTTCATGAAGTTTTATATGTTTTGTGTGCTGCTAGGCCTGAAAGATTGTTTTGCCATTTATACCCGTAAAAGGCCAGAAGATTACTTGCCTATCGTCTAAGCCGGACAGAACCAGGTCTCTCGTTTTGGCCTGTTTTTTAAATTTTTGCTGAATATGATTATAAAAGACGTAGAGGAAAACTGTAAAATAATAAAGAATATGAAATGCGTGTGTATAAAGGGAATCCCAGCTGTAAGTGGTATTTAAATATAATGTGCTTAATTACTTCAGATCAAAATTCTAAAATTATTGCGCATTTTGGGTCGCGATGATGCAAAAGCAAGCGAAGAAATGAACGATATTTTGGCACAGGTGAGATCCGTCTTTGCTTTGTGTCCCTCTGTACGCTTTGAGGAGAGGAGTATTGGATTATTCTAGTTTTTATTTATAAGAATTAGAATAATCCAATGCATGAATGAGGTGTAAGTGAAGAATTTGAGGTGTAAGTGTGCTGAAAATGTAGAATTTATATTTTACAACATTCCAGGGATGTAAGTTTACTAAGAATTCAAAAATCGCGAAAATAGTCGGTGTGGGCACATCGTTTTTTTGATGCTGCTGGATTCCTTCATTGCGCCGGACACAGCTAGTGCCTGACCGTTTGGTTCAGGTCTGCGCAGCTCAATTTCTGTTCGATGTATATGTGCCACCTCTTTAAGAACCACTGTCCGCTTCGCGGATATCGCTCCAACTAATTAGTTGGATTTAGTTTCTCGCATAGTCGCAGTGATATGCCAAATGCTGGATGTGAAATTACTTTTCATTACCTCTACAGGAAGATCCATTTTCATACCTTTGTGCATTGCTTGTTGAGATCCTGATTTTCGCGCAGTGTCATGTATTCTTTTTTTTTTCTTCTTAGACGCCTCAGATATTTAAACAAGCTACATTTTCAATATTTTCGTGTAATTCAGGTAGCAACAAATACGGAAACATCAAAAAATGTTGGCAATGCTATCCTGTATGAAACTGTGCTGACGATTATGGAAATTCGAAGTGAAAGTGGCCTTCGCGTTCTCGCAGTCAACATTCTTGGACGATTTCTTTTGAATCCGGACAAGGTAATTCCATTTCCCATAAAAAAATATGATTTCGATTTGTTTGGATAAGTGGTTCAGTTGTTGTAAATTCATTTTCACCTGCATTTTTTTGTGTTCTCATAGAAGTGAAAGCGCTCGGGATTGGCCTAAAGTCGTTGATCTCTGCTGATAGTAATTGTTTGCTGATAAGCAGATTGCAGCATTCAGGTTCACGCTGGAAGTGCAGATGGAAGTGCAGCAAGGTGTAAAGGAGTTTGGAGAAAGTAGTAGTGTAGATTAGAGAAGGTGAAAGCGAGATAAGACGTTTCGGTCCATTAAGTCATATACGTCTCTTAACTCAACACTGCGACTGGGCCTCGTCAGTATGACGGTCGCAGTGCATAAGGAGAAGAAAGAAAGAAAAAAAGATAAATCTGTAGATGCCTTTCTGTTGAGCTGATGATTAAAAGCAAGCGATTAGCTGTTTTAAATTTCTGGTATGCTCCAGTACCAATTTACCATCGAAACAAATTGGTAAATCCGAGAGGGAAGGTGTAAGTTCATTTCCACCTGCATTTTTTTAAAATGTATTGATCTGCAGTACCTCTAAAAGCTGCTTGTCCTTGGAATCGTGGAATCGAGAAGCTTATTGCAGCTGTATATTGCACTGTTAGATTTCCCGAGTGTAATCTAACGCATAGCAGGCCTCTTGCATTTTAGAAATGTGGTAATAAACATTCGTTATTCATAGAATTTTAATCTTTCCAGAATATTCGATATGTTGCGCTGAATACTCTGCTGAAGACGGTCGCAGTTGATTACAATGCAGTACAGAGGCATCGAACGACAGTTGTAGATTGCTTGAAAGATCCCGATGTATCAATCAGAAGGTAAAGTATTCAGTTTTTTTTTTTTTTTTCCTTTTCATCCGCGACTGTATGCCAACTGGCAGGCATGATGCAGTGGCATGTACTTCCGTTCTTGTGCTGAGAGTTGTGAATTCAGTTCTGTCCCATATCGGATAACCATTCCCTCTACGACTCGTTTCTGGAATGAAACACAGGCTGGAACGCAACAGGCAAAGCGATACGATCATGCGTTTTTGCGCCAAACTTGAAGTAATTAGCTTTCTAGCTTTTCCCGTTCCCGAGTTAGCAATTCTCCCGCCAAAACCTTCACCTTTTCGTACGCGGGGTCCAGACTTGTATGAAGGTGGGTATCGCAGTCGTGGGGTGACACTTGGCGGAGGAACCCACTAGCAAAATTCTGGCGCCGGAGTTTACTTGGTTGCCGAGTTGAAATACCCGGGTAGGCGAACACACACACACACACACACTCAAACACACGTACAGACGGGGTCGTCGCAGAATGCATTTTTACAATTTGCATATAAGCAAAAACGCATAAAAATGGTACTACCGAGCAAGTAGAAACTGTCATCAGCTTGTTTCTAAGCACAAAAAAAAAGCCATCAACAGTCTTGGTAAAGAATAGATGCTGTTGACGTGTGCTATCTCACTGGTTGTTTTCGGAATGCCTTCATTTTTGGAGAGTATGAAAGTGGAAAAGGTC